TACTTGAGCCAGAGATGGTGTCATCGGAGTGTCAACTCAAGCGGCTCCGTCTTGAGTAGGATGAAGTGGTAGAAGAGCGGTTGACCAACAAAGCACGAATCTCGTCCATTTGTGCATCATTCTCTTGTTTGTGTTCGTCGAGCTTGTTGTCGAAGTAGTCTCTTGTACGTTGCTCGAAGAGTCGCAAGTCGGTGGCGAGGTTGTCGATGCGTTCGCTCATTGCTTGTTGCTCTTAATGCAAAGCTCGTTGTGCACCAAAGAGGTGGCTCTTTTTACCGTAGGAGGACATGCCGTCGTCTTGCTCGATGAAGAAGTACTTGGCCTATCCATCATTCCAAGAAAATATGTGAGTGGGAGAAAGAGAAGAACTTATACCAAATGTACGTTGACCGATGTTGAAGATGGATCAATGATCACTCAAATGTGGAACAAGGAAATAGCACAATTGGTACCAATTCTTGTCGGTTTCTCACACCTACACAAGTAAAAGCTTATAGTGGAGCTCGGTTAGGATGGTGGCACAAAATTTGATGCAGTTGTTAGTGAGCCTCAATAATGTTGGAAAAGATTCGCAAATTTGCAAATGCAACAAGTAGACCAATAGCAGGATATGGTAAATGGAAACGCACACATGGAAAGATAAATGGGGTCGTGCAACCAAGGAATGAGCCAAAATGTGGAATCCACGGAAAATGCTCTTGTTGCACAACTCTAGAGAGACGCTAGCACGATCGCACAATAGGCGGATACGAAGACTTGTGCACAACCTACTAAGCAAAAATGCAACGACTTCTATCCCAAGTATGCTCTATGTATGGTATTCCGATGATATGATCCAAGATGATCGAGTATGACAATCTTAATGTAATATGATGCTATGGTTCTTGGTTAAAAACTCTTTTCTTTTCTTTCCCTTTTGCTTAAAAGCTTGTTTGGCTCTTTCTCTTTTGAGCTCTTTCTCATGCAAAACTTCACGAACCAAGATAGCAAGTGTGTATGCGATGAAAACTTTGTGACACAAAAGATGATACCAAGATATGCACCACGATGATATGGTATGTATGCTATAGGAAGTATGATCACTAATGTGCACAAGTAACGTTGCCAGCAATACTCAAAGGCTAGTCTTGATGGGTAAGGTACGCAAAATTGGGCTATGGTGGTTATCAATATAATGGCAAGGAGTAGACAAAGATGTCGTCGAAGTTACCGTCCTTGCTTACGGTTAAGGGTATCAAAATTGTTGAGCGGTTGTTGTCGATGACGAGTCTGTGGCGAAGATGAGCGGCGGTGATGTTGATGTCGAACCGTCCCTAAGTAGCCGAAACACGTTAGGAAACGAAAACCGCAGCTCAAATTCTCAAAGAAAAATGTGTCAAAATTGTGTCGGAGTGCGAAACGAGTAAGCAATGGTAGGGCGGGAAACAAGTTGTGGTTTTGGTGTGCGTATGCGGAAGTGGAATGGGTATTGGAGTGCGTATGCGGAAGTAGGGCGGTGGCTGAAAACTTCTGAGAGAAAATTTTCAGTTTTGTCAGGAAACATCGGACGATCGGTGGTCGGATGTCCGTAGCTGGCGGACGTCCGGTGCCTAGGCGGTTTCAGCCACGGGATGAACAGCTAGGGTTCGTGGTGGAGGTGGCAAAATTTGTCGAATCCGAGCGATTTTGTGGATGGAAATGGTGGAGATGAAGGGGAAAAGCTAGATCCACTCGTGGCAAAGCAAATCCATGGATCAAATCCAACAAAACTTCATCACACCAACAAATCACAAAAAAAAATTGGGGCTATTTTTGGTGGGGATTTTCGAAATTGGGGAAGAACACAACAAAATCAAGCTAGAAAACAAGGGGTAGGGGCTCCAAATCCGTGATCAACGTGGCTCATGATACCAAGATGATGTAGGGTAGAACCCTAATGGCCCGATCTTTCACGATTGGAGGGGATCCTACGAAGAAAACGAAGAACACGAGGAGAAAACACGAGGGGAAACACGAGAGAATCACTCAAACCAACAAGATTCGGTCACACATATGGTAGATCCTCGAAACACAAAAGAGATACACGATCCACGATCAACAAGGGACGATACAAGTAGCACGTTCTTCTCCGTGAGGAGGTCTTGAAGGTCTTCCCGTTAGGGGTCTTGAATCCAAGATGGATCTTCTCCGAAGAGGTGACGGTCTCTCTCGGTGCAGTAGGTCCGGATGGATGAGCGAGGCTCTATCTCACATATGAGCTATCACAACGCTAACCCTAACTAGGAGGAGGAGGTCTATTTATAGACTTAGTGCAAATGGGGGCGAAGTGAAGGGGTGCATGGGCCTCGAGCCCGAAACTGTGCGCAGACAGGTACCGGATGTCCGGTGGGTTCCGGTCGTCCGGTGGCTCGCGGGCGTCCGGACGTTCAGAAGTCGACAGGCTTCCATCATTTCCGCTCGGTTGAAGTGGCACCGGATTTCAGAAGACGGCATGTCGTCCGGTCGCTTCGGACTTTCGCTGATTTCGTTCTGGTGGGGACCTGCCGGATTTCTGGTGGAGCCCGGACGTCCGGTCGCTGGGAGTTGTCGGTCGTCGAGTCCTGGACGGACGTCCAGCCGCTGTAGCGTTCACTGGCCTGGCTTCTTCTGGCTGGCGTGGCCTTCAGGGACCGGACGTCCGGTCTGGAGCGGTCGTCCGGTGGCTGTAACTCTTCTTGCAGCTCTTCTTCTTGTCCCTCATAGTTGGTGTCCTCGCTGTCTTGTCCGTTGGATGTAGCTGCTCCGTGGCCTTCCTCCAAGTACCTGATCACACATAGTGTTTCTGCTTGAGGTAGTAGCCATGTCGCATGTGTAGAAAGTGGTAGTTCGGAGAGGAGCGAGTTCACCTTATCTTCGATAGCCTTTGCTCGAGCTCGTCATTGGTCCAAGTGGTGTCGTTGGAGATGTCGATACGTTCATGGGGATGACCGTGGGATGCTCCGCATCACCTTCTCTTTAGTTGGTCTAGATTTTAAATCTTGATCGAATTTTCTCTTGTCCTCATAATAGATAAATCATGTGCGGTTATTTTTCTCCCTCTTCCAGTTCTTCGATGACGTGAAGCTCTAGACAGTGAAGCACTGAAGAATTGTAAAGTCCAAACGCGTGCAATCCATATAGAGGTTGTACTTTCGGTCTACAGTTAGAGGGATCCTCGTGGACAGTTCGTGGGACTTCCAGAACGATCTATGCCAACTCTTCTTCCGCTGCAACTCGTAATTGTAACGATCCTATCTAACCTCGTATGCATCTTCATAGTGATCCAGGATCTTGATTGTGGGGAGAATTTTCTTTGTTTTCGACTACGTTTCCCAACACCGCCATTGACGCGATGGAGCGGCGGCGAAGGCGACACCGGACCGCGGTCCTTGAGCGACCGCTCGAGGAGGAGCTCTAGGTGTGCCTGGTACTTCTCATCCATCGCAACAGCCTCCATGAGGAGGCGTTGCTGCTCTTGCGGCTCCTCTTGCTCGTCGTCGAAGGAGAGGTTGATCTCCTCCTTCCCGAAGGAGCCAGGCACTATGGAGGCCGATGGTCCCGAAGAGCAACGGCAACAACACCATGATTCGGATCTGGAAGGAGATCCAAAGCCACCTGCCAGCGCAGAGAACCAGGACTCGGCATTGTCAACGATGGTGAGCGAAGACGGAGAGGAGTAGATCGACGGTGAGGGGAGAGGAGAGGATGTGAGGTGTGGTATGGACGGCGCCTGAGTCGTGCTTAAATAGTCGCGGCCGGGCAAACGAGTCATAGATTGCTTCAGTGTGGCACACCGAATGGAGTAGGCTTCTTACTCGTTGTATGCCACACCGAATGGAGTAGGCTTCTTACTCGTTGTATCGATATTGAAGCAGCGCCGCAAAGTAGGCTTCTTAGTCGTTGCGTCGACATTGAAGCAGCGCAGCTCGCTCTGACCGGCATTAATGTCGCAGAGTCGCGTCTGCTCTCCAACAGCCTGACCAGCATGATGCGCGGCAACCCCTTTGTGCAGAGAGGGGTTTCGGGCAGAGATAGTTTAGGTGGGACGTCGCGCCATGGGAGACGTCCAAACTCCCACAAACCTCCCACTACGTCAGATTTGTGTGATTTCAAACACATCAGGCGCGTCCGCATATGGATGGGGCACCTCATTGGATGGCTTGCATCGTTCGGACACGTCCGAACGTTTTGAGAATCCACGTAGGAAATGCCCTAATTGGATGTAGTTTGTGATGTGAAGATGCTCTAATTGGATGTAATTTGTGATGTGGTAGGATCGGGCGGCGAGGATGGGGCGGCAAGCTGAAATGATTGGTGGTGGGGCAGTGTGCCAGGGCGAACTGGCGGGGGCAGGAGTGTCAAGGAAAGAGAGGCAGTAGTACCAACATGGACAACAGGTATCGTGGCCGCTTCAACAACAGAAGCAATGGCAGAGAAGTTCGCTAGGAGAGCTGGCCGCTTCAACAACAGAAGCAATGGCAGAGAAGTTCGTTAGGAGAGCTGACCGAACCGATGGCGGAACCATAGGCAGGGGAGCACAGACAGCTAGCGAGTTCGGCCATGACGCGTCTGTTACCAAGTTGGGGAGAATAATTCTTCCCTTAATCATAGTGTTACATATGTAACATTATATACTGAGAGAGGTTGCTCACCGGGCGCCCTAGAGAATAGGAACCCAAATAAGCCGTGGCGTCGAAGATCCTAAAGACTACGGCAGCTACAGACACTGTGCAACGTTGCAACATGGTTTAACATAATATGCTGTCCCAGGATGATTAACAATGGGGATAGAAAAAGGAAACTGTGACACCAGGCAAACGTACCTCAAGTGGAGGAAGAAGAATAGTTGATGAATAGTACACGATTTTACTCAAAACTGCTATGCTAAAAGAAGAAAAAACAAGAATCGCCAAGCGTACAGCTCAGAAGGCACAAATACAATTGAGCTTCTGTAATGTACAACAGTGGATGTGCCGATGCTGACATCGATGAAAATAAATTGCTCAGGCTCTCTTGTCAGATCTATTAAGATTTAGATTAAACCACTTCTTTTTACTCGATTTGTCCCTGCTATCTATGTTACCATTCTCGGAACTCTCAGTTTTGTTTTGCTCAACTGGATATCTACTGCTGCTGCTACCAGCTCCGAGAGAGCTCGTGATAGTTCGTTCGGTCGTGAATGAAGAATGGATGTCATCCCTTTCTCTCAACATATCATCAACCTGCAGAGACCACAGAACTTTAGCAACATGTATATCAAATTTTTGTACTGAATGTCACAATAAATTATTTGCTGTACTCAAGATCAACTCTTGTAATTATAACAACACATGTCACTATTTGTTTTGATTTCAATCGTATGCCTCCCATGTCGCTCTCGGACAATACTAGAGGCGAAATCCTCGGCCAACAAAACCTCATTCCTGTTGTTCCTTCCCCCTCGACGGAGCCGCCGGCCAGCCAATGGTGGTGCTTGGTCTCTCGAGCGCTTCTCCCCAATTCGCATCCGTCGCTTCTTGCCCGGCCCTGCCGGCTCCTGCATGCTCCCTGAGTTTCCCTGCGCCATAAACCCATCGTGTAGCCGTGTTTGCTGGGTGCCTCTTTAGCCTTGCGGCTGCGTGGTCTCTGGTCATCTGATTTTGTCACAGGTGGGACGCACTGGCTGTGGTCCAGGCCGGCTCAGATCTGACCTCTCCAGGTCTAGATCAGGTTGCTCTCCATGCCAGTATGGGCTGTTGTCATGCCGGTCGTCTCCTTGCAGTGGTGGGCATGCAGCTTGGTCAAAAGTCGTTTGCTTGCTAGCGTGTGTGGCTGTTGGTCGTCGGAGGATCCGTTGGGGACTACGCTGTGTCCTTACCAGGTGCTTTTATTGGCTTGCCTGATGTTGTAGAAAGTGTTGATCGATCTTCTCTTGAGGCGGGCAGTGTTCGCAGCTGCTGCTCCTGTGGTGCTCGTGCAAGTACGGTCGTGCCCTGTCTCACATATGCCTTCCCTTGGTGCTTCGTGCTTGCCCGCCTGCAACATAGCCTCCGCCGAAATCTACACATGGTGGTAGCAACTCTAGATTGCATCCTCCGGCGGCTTCGGTAGGCATTGATTACTGTGCTACAGAGCCTCCTTTAGCGACTTCCACGGGTGGTGGTGGCAGCTCTTCTCCTGATGATGCTACGTTGACCACTTCAGTTGTGTCCTTCAATCAGCATGAGATTGCACGACTTAGACACCTGCTTGCTACTTCGGTTCTCTATCACTAGGTGCTTCTACCTCGGCCTCTTCAATTGAGCCCCTCACTAAGCTAGAGATTGAGCGACTTAGGTGCCTGCTTGTTGCTTCTCGTTCTCCATCGATAGGTTCTGTTACTGAATCTTCTGGCACCGAGAGACCACCTTCTACAAAGTCAGGTACATCCCAACATCCCCGTGCATTCTTGACACGAGACCATCTTATCATATGACTTGTGATAATCCACTTTGTCCTTTATTCGACCTCTCGTTTTTCCTATTAATGTCCTTACTAGTGATGGTACTCCCCTTCCAATAAATAGTGGAGGCACTCTTAGCACTTCGCCTTTTCATGTTCATTCCATGTCTCATGTTTCTCAATTTTCCAAGCAGCTCCTTTCTGGTGTCAGGTTATTGGCTCTGGTTGTCGGGCCAGTCTCAACTTTTGACACGGTTCTACTATGGATTGTTGCACGGAAGCTCTGCGTGGTTCTGCCGTTCACCTTGTTTACTAGTAGCGTCGGAGCTGCCAACAATCTTTCTCCAGTACTGACAACCTATGTTTTCTCTGAGACCATCTCTATTAGTTAGCTTCAATACCTTTGAGCATCATAACCTTTCCCGCCACTTCCGAGCCTTTAGGTTTGCTGCAGCATCAAAGTCTCAGTATAGGCCCAGTACTTCCAAGCTAAATCCATGTGGCACCTCTGAGTTGGGATTTATCCATCTGGCACCGCTGAGTTGGGATTTAAGTGTTTTCTGCTACATTTCCCTTTGAGAACAGCTATGTCAACCTCAGTATCTTCGAGGCTTTGTTTTCTGCTGTACTGAGCCAGTTCTATCTTTGCAAAAAAGAGACCTTTTTGGTGCCATTGTCATGGCCTAGGTTAGGAAGAGGATAGTCGTTGGTGATAGGAGGGCGAGGGCAAGGGATTTTAGGCTTGGGCGTCCTGACGCCTTGGGGGACAAATCTGTTCTGGAGGTAAACATCCCCTTTTCTATATCTATTCTTCAATACCCATTACACGAGTACTCCCTGGGCTTATATAGCATATATAGCAGCCAGGCAACTAAAGATAGAAACTGAACCAACTAGAACTCCTGCTTCTAAACAATGGCCAATGCTTGCAAATAAAGAAAGCTAACAAGTTCTAAGAAAGGAAGGCTTATCTAGATCTAAACAGAATCCGAACTGACCAAACTAACTCGAATTGGAAAGCACTAAAGACCTGTCCGGCTAAAGTAGACCATGGCTGGCATGACCTCATTCCCCCCTTCAACAAGCCGCTCAACCTCGAGCTTGAAAGAACTTCCCACCCAAGAAGCTTTAGGAACCGATACTTGTGTCCAGTAGATCAGTCGCCTCTCTTCCGAAGCATCCACCCAGCAATCATAAAGATGCTTACAGCGATGGTCAGGGGTGTACTTGTCGTCACACTTGTCGCAAAGACCCTTGGCACACCGTTCATCCATCTCGGCAAGTGAGCCGCAGAAGGTGCCGCTTTGGGCAACACCTAGGCTTGGGAGGAGCCACAAGTTCTAGAGTAGATGATATGATGCCTCCCTCAATGTTTCCCTTCGGCACGAGACCTTTCTTGTTGTCTTCTATTGCGCCATGCTCCTTGTACGCGCGTGCATGGTCCATGACATCCTCTAGTATCACCGGGTACATGGCTGGACGTCGGTTTGGATTCCACGAATAGCTCCACCTAGGGCACCTTTGTAAGTCCATCGCACCTGCACACGAGTTAAAAACTACTACTCATAGTCATCAACTAATTTGCCAACGGTTCTTAATTGTCTAGAGCTCAGTGTCCCAGACTTTAGAGTGTTCCAAACATTAGGCCCAAAACACCACTTGAGTAATGAGCAGCACTCCCATAAGAATGTGCGCCATGTGAACCCTTGAGACATTTGTACCATAGTGACGCCCGCTTTAACAAATGATATGATGCAAGCCACACCTTGTCGCTTTCCGGTGTGCCCTGCTAATAAAAAAATTGATCAACATAAGTGAGATAGGGCAGTGTATCTTCTAAGCCATCAAAGGTGGGGAATTCCAGCATGTGGAATTTGGGTTTTCCACTTGTTGATGTCCTCAACATGTGAGTGACTGTTGTTGTTGCCATTCTTTTCATGTGTGTGCTGACTAGTCGCTCTTCTCAAAGGTGGGGGAATTCCAACTTGTCGGATTTGGGCTTCCACTAGTTGATGTCCACAGCATGTGAGTGACTGCTATTGCGGCCGTTCATTCCATGCATGTGCTCCTCCACGGTGAAGGGTTGACTAGTCGCTCTCCTCCAGGCGGGCAATGGATAGCCGGCTGGTTGCTGCCTGCTCCTTGAGCTCTTCAATGTACTTTTCAAATTTCTTAAAGGCATTGCCCCTCAGTTCATCGAAAAGATCATTTTGATGAGTGTGGAGCTTCTCATCTAGAAACTTGGTATCTCCACAATGGTGGCCATGGGGGAGGAGAGGTGGCTGAGGATCGGTACGTCTAATACCAAGTTGTCACGACCTAGGTTATGGAAGGGATAGTCATGGATGATGGGAGGGCATGTGATTTTAGGCTTGGGCACAGCGATGCCTTGGGGGCCAGATAATTTCTGGAGGTAAAACTCTCCTTTTATCTGTTTTATTTCTCTAATACCCATGACACGAGTTACTCCCTAGCTTATATAGAGCCAGGCAACTAAAGATAGAAACCAAATCAACTAGTCCTAATTCTAAACACGGCCAATACTTACTTGCAAATAAAGAAAGCTAACAAATCATAAAATAGGAAGGCTTGTCTAGATCTAAACAAAATCTGAACTCACCAAACTAAGACTTGGAAAGCACTGAAGATATGCTCGGCTCGGCTGGAGTAGGCCATGGTTAGCGTGACACCAGTGCCTCCTTGTTTTCTCTGCTCGGTACTTCTGAGCAACTGGACTTTTGAGAAGCTTAGTTGACAGTCGGTACCTCCGAGGTATCGTGCACTTCCAAGAACATGTTTTTCCCTTCTGGCCATTCGAATTTTGAACAAGTCCAGTAGTTCTGAAATTTTTCCTCCGGTACTTCTAGGCCTGCACTGTAAATAATCGCCCAAACCCCCTTGGTTGTGAGAGAAAGTTACAAGCCATTCCAAGCCAAATCCTATCCAAGCCTTTTGTGCGTCCAAGGCAGAGTTGAAAGGAAATTGTTGGGTGATTCCAAGCTACTTCATTGAATCTTTAAAGACCAAGCTCCTCCCTTTCTTGAAGCCCTTCTCTTGTGTTCATCTCTCTCTACTTCAAGCTTTATCTTTGTGTGAGAGAGAGAGTGGTGCCGAACGCCCTAGTGTCATCACCATGGACTTGGCTCCATCACCAAGTGACACGCGCATCACATATACTAAGGTGAGTTATATCCTCTATGCGTGTCTACTTGGTTCGCTCTTGGATGGTATACTACTTGACCCTCCCCCCACCCTGTACATGTATAGGTTTGAGAGAGCTTCACGCTTATTGGGTGAGAGCACAAGAGGACAACAACAACATCCAAGAGGGAGCGTGGAAGCAGCGATGGAAGAAGAGAGAGCAACCAAAGAAGTGGTGCAAAAACTGCACTATCGCACAATCCGGCCAGATGACCGGACAGGTAGTGTGGCTGTGTGCAGAATTTGAGAAAAGCCCATGTATCTTTACCCTTTCACTTGCCCCTTCATGCCTTGGACCTATATATATCCCTCCATCTCATCCATTTTAGGGTTAGCTAAGATTAAAACTCCAACCATATAGCTTTGCTCATGTAGCTCCCCTTGTGGGATTACTCCTTCATGGAGATTGCTCCTCTCATGGAGATGAAGACCTCCTCTTGAGGGGATGACTCCATAGGAGTACAAAGACCCCATTGGTGGGGTAGATTCCTTCATGAAATTCACGCCCTCCTTGTCCTAGGACTTGGGAAAGAACTACCTTTGTGTCTTACTTTCCTTCGTTGTTGTTGAATGCTTGAGATTCATCACTTGGCTTGTGATT